TTCCCGACAAAAGTTAGGAGGTGCAATGCGCTGTCCATTATAATAATGATCTACAAAAACTAAGACATGTGACGTAGGTCGGTGCTCTATTACCTTGCAGATGGCTGTCGCCAGGGGTCTATACAAGCTCCCGAGATGATGAATGTTATTGATCCTAAGAATAGTACATCAAGTCCACCAGGACTGAGACCCTCATAGGAATCGCCATAACAATAGAACAAGAGTACTCACGATCAATATTGATCAGTTAGAATGCCCTGAATAGCGTTCGAAGCGGCTACAAATTAGGCGTCTCTTCAGGCCTTTCCCCACTTTTCAGTAGGAAAGCCAGTGAGCTTATAGGTGTCTTTGACTAAATGGAATAACATTCGTGAGATTGTGCATTATCCTCCTGGGCCTCATCCAGTGGCTAAGCTATGTCGTCAGACAGACCAACCCCTTGCTATAGAACAATTGCTAACATCCTGCTAGCTTCACTCCAAGTAGCAATATCCTGGCTAATGTACCACTTGGTGGAGTGATACGCGTATTCTCACTATTACTAATACAAACTAGTGGGCCTCGGTAGAATCCCACCCCATACACGTGCACACAAGGATCTAGTGGTAAATAAGGGTCTCAGATTCATAGGTATCTATGTACTCTACAATTCTATCTCTTATTATGGACAAGTACGGAGAGTTCTGTCTTAAGACTATCATACACAAGACGTCAAACCTATCTCTTGTAGGTGGGTCTTGTAGGTGCACGAGTAATGAGTTTGGTCGATACCAATCCATGAAACGAATCACAATCCCCTCGTGAAGACGAAGGGGAAGCAAACAGTCCATTATTGCATCCTCAAGACAAGTGCAATTGTTTGGGGCTGAAAGCTCGACTTTGTAACGAAATTTTCTGATATGGTACAAGCGACACGTTTCTCACCTACAAGCATATTATGGATTTAATGAGATCTCGTCGTAATATAAGGAGGGCAAGGATTCTTAGCATTCACATGGTTACACGCACACATATCCAACTCGACCCTAGTACCCGATCATGCAGGTCTGGTACCAGGTACCGAGGTACGTCTGTTACATAATAAGCAGGATTATATTGTTCGTTCTCCAAGAGGCGAAGCAAGGTTTATTGACCACGACTTGAGCTGCCATCTTATTGTCAATGCAAGCTAGATTGGACACCCTTATGGAAGGAAGTCCTATTCTTAATTTATCGGCAATTTGCTACATTCCTGAAGACCTCCAGTATGTGACTGCCAGCAGGAACTGCGGACACTCTTGCATAACCTGGAATATGCGCTGTTGCATTCAAAACCCTATTACCATCGAGCAGGATCTGCAATCTTTCCACGCGTCGCCCAAAGATCGGGGCGTATATTGTACCTTGTTTTATCGTCGTGGGCACTGTCAAGTTCGCTGTGAAAACCCCTGTCTTGGATATTCTCCACTCCGCCGAGAAGTTTCCGCTTCGCGTCGCAAAACCACCTCGTGCATAAGTCAAGCCTGACCCAGCGGCCGCCGGCGCGAACACCCAGTCTCCGTCCTCATCTTGATTGACATTCACGCCGGGCACACTTCGGATTCCCACCACATCGTTGATGAGATTGTACGTCGGCCCGGTGCTCCAGGCGTGTGCTAGGGAAACGAAGGATGGATCCCCGGGATAGAACGGATATGACAGGGTGCCATCTGTGCTGTATCCCTCAATCATGGTGCTGTTGCTGAAGGTATCAAGCATGTAGCCCCACGTCGTGCGCAATAATCTCATAGCTGCAGTTGCATTACCGGGGTTGGCAGCGAACTGAGCGCGAAGCTCTTCGCCTGAAATGAAGGGCGAGATGGCGCCAGGCGCCTCAGGGGCTGGCGGGCCATAGACTGTGAGCCGGCTGGCAAGATTCTGGGCTATGCGCAGAGCCTGCGCCCTGTCAACGGTCAGATTAAAGTTGATAGCGAGGGCATTCCCGTCTTGGGGGAAAACAGCTCTCCCAGCTGTAGTGGTGTTGTCGTAGAATAGCCCTGTGGCGTCTGAAAACAGTAAACGGTTAGCCGACGCCTTGACACGCTCAGCAGTCGAGGTCCATTTCGCGGCCATTGCTTCGTCTCCAATGTTCGAGTATTTGCAGAGCGAAGCAGCTAGGTTGAGTGCATGATAATAGATTGCGTTTAAGGCCGTGTTCTCGCCGCCTTGCCCGATCCGTCCCCAATCCGATGGCATAGTTCCAGAATAGAGGCCGGTAGTTGTGTTGACATACTGGTCTGTCGCTTCCAACCCCCTGACCATGGATTGGAAGTAACGAAGGCCAAAGTCACCATCGCCAGATGCGATGACGTATTCGCAGAAAGCTATGATGGTCCAGAGATGGTATGTATCCGAGGATGCTGCGATAGTAGTCAGCTACCCATATGATTGATCGTCAGAGCATCAACAATCTAGCTATGCGGATCGCCACTCACGAACTCGTCCAGCCAGCAGGCTGCTTAATGGGGACCCTCCGTAAGGGAATAACTGAGTCGAGTTGTTTTGTTCATCCATCATCGACTTCAAAGCATTACGGATGCTCAAGAAATTGTCCTGATTCATTGCCACCAAGACACTCTTCAGAGCAATGTCGAGATCGCCTGCCCAAGGATTTCGATCGCGTTTGGCACCATCTGCGAGGAAATAATCTGTACTAGCGAGTGTTCTTGGTTGAACATCATTAGACCAGCCGATCGGCGACTGTAGCCACTGAGGGCGGTTCAAAGACGAGTTGGCTGGGACAGTGCAGAGCTGGAGTGTGTAGGCACCAGCGTACCAAATGCGATCTAGCAATGGATCGGAACTAGAAAAGTATCCAGAGTACGATTGTAAGTGGTCTGCAGGCTGTGCTGGTTGCGCGGTGAAGTGGACGGTCGGCGTTCTCAGAGTTACTGACGTGTTCCACGGAACCCGAGGACCAAGGGAGAAAGTGAGGTACCGAAAGCTTCCGCGAGCATACTTGGACTCAGGAGTGTAGACTCCTGCCGTCATAGGAACATACAGCGTGCCATCCTCGTGGTTAGTAAAGACCGAATTGTCAGATGCAAAGCCGGCAAAAAGCAGTGTCTCGCTGTAAGCTATCCCGAGGCCTTGACAGTTATCGGCGCAAGTAAAAGTGGGGAGCTCAGAGATGCCGCAGTTCCTTCCATTACATTTTGATGCATGAATCTGGAACGTGGGAAGGCCGCATATGATTTGGGCAAAGTCGAAGGTAACAGATGCGTTAGCCCCTGACAAGGCGAATGCTGCATCCGCAGACACGTCGGCAGTATCATTCGATATAAAACTGACGTTCCCTGTTACTTTGGCGATGCGTTTGGCAGTAAGTGATCGCGATGGCGGCGAGTACATTTGAGCAGGACTTGGGTTTCCTATCACATGGCCGAAGATGCCCAGCAGGGAGACCGTGGCCACGAACGAAAACGGTGCATAACGCATTGTGTCAGCAGAGACAACGATGATTGGGATGGTGAGGGAGAGAGAAAAGAATCACAGCAGGTACGAATCTGTCAAGCATGCAGAATGGCTCGGTGTCGCTTCATTTATTACCGTAGACGACACAATGCCAAGCAGGTATTGGGATGCAGTTTGTGGGGCTGGGGAAAGCTAGTCTTCAGGGGGCTAGCCAGGTAGGCACAGCCCCCTTGTAGGCCCCCTGTAGCGAGATTCCAGCGGGGAAGGCTTGAGAAATTGCACTGTGCTCTGTCTATGGCCCCTTATAACAATATTATCTTGAGGGCATTAGCCACTATGACTAAGAATATCTGCGGAGCATATGATCGGTCTGTGATAGACTAATCTTGATATAAAACCAAAGGGGCCGAGATTCGAAGTGGCTTAGCCCAGACTGAAACGAGGGACACTGTAGGTAGCCAGCCTCCCTTTTGATCCCTCGTGAAGTTGGCGATCACAAGGAATGCCCCTGTATGTGCCCGTATCTTTCCCTGATCCCACCATCCCACGCAGGCCAGGCGTTACGCCGTGACATCTCTTGGAGCAGTTGAACAAACCTCCTCGTCTTCTCAAGAAACTCTCTTCATTGTGTTCCTCAGTTGAGGAAAATATGGTTAATTGGTTGATCTTAGACTTCTAGTTTCTTGTCGCTAGTGTACTTTCAATCATTGTTCATCATATGCTTGATATCCTCTATTTCAGCTTCTGCTCCCTCTCCTACTCTTTCCAATGTTTAATGTTCTGATTCGGTTTGTTCGAGGCTGTTGAGCAAGTTCTTGATGCAGAAGAATAGCAAGTTGTAGAACCTCGGCTGAAATTGACGAACTTGCAAGATCAGGGTCGATCGGCCCCCCTATATGGTCTCCAACTGTACACTACGGCCAGGCGGGGTTTGAGCACACGAGCTCTGGGGACGCCTTGCCGTATTCATACAACCCTCAATGCTACTGTACAGTAGCGGCAAGAGTAGGTAGTCGTCTATATATTCTACCTCTATGTAGGTAGGGCGGGTCATTGGCTGGTAGACCCCTCTTGTTGTCCACCTTGCACAATGATCTCCGTTCATTGTCACCATACCTTACAGAAAGTTAGAGCTGCTTTTCCGGTACAGAAGCTCCTGAACACATCGAGGACATTCGGAGCATCTAAGCAGACTGGAACTCCAGGACAGTGAGGTACATAGATAAACGGATGGTTCTACTCGTAAGTCTGTACCAAAAAGTTTTAAGGGGAACACGAGATGGGTTTTGCTACTTGACCCAGTCAGATTTGCTCAATCACCGCTAAGTACACCAAGACCAAACTCATATAGCCAGGGGCCTTAAGAGAAGTGCTGCGCGTAGCATTGGATCATCTCGTAATCTAGATCAAGTAATTCACTAGAACCCATTTAGATCGCTGCGTAATTCCTAACTGAGATCTCGGCAGGCCGCGAATGACCTTGTCTGGCCACACCAAGAAGTGAGCACACCTAAAGCAGAGCCTGTTTCCCACAGTTCCCCAAGAGCATCTAGGCTAGAGATAGCAGATTATATTGCGGCCACCTTCCATCCTCCTGGCATCTGATCCGTGTAGATACTCTGCGGATCATACTTCGACCGTATTTCCTTCAGTCTTGCCACGTTTTCTGGCGCATAACCCTGGAAGACTGGCTGGTTCTTGTCCGCATCATTCAAGTAGAGATAGGGACTGGCAACATTCAACGAGGTCAGCTTTTCGTCTATAATAGCATTGACATCAATGAGGAACTGGTCGACTTTCGGTGTATCAGCGGGATTTGCGTGCATGATAGCCTCCTCGACCCATATATATGGCGCCTTGGTAGCGTCAATTCCCATCGGATCTCCAGCCGTGCCATTCCTATTTGTGGAGATGAACGACTCGGAAATGGGCATCATGGCTAGAGTCGCAAGAGAGTTCGTCACGTTAGCAAGGCGCTGGCTAGCCATGCTAAGGAAAGTGTCGTGGATAAACTCCATTGCTTCTCTGTTTGCTCGAAAAGAAAGCACATGGAAACGGAAGACCATGCCGTGTACTCTCTCGAATCCTGTCTCTGTCTCGTTTGACCAGTCCGAGAATGGTCGATATGAAAATGTACTCGACGCGGCAGGCAACAGCGCATCAGGTCCAGTGAAGTTGGACAATGCGGGTGGCGCCGTGACATTGCCGTTATAGAAGAGAAATGACGAATATGCAAAATCACTTCCTGTGGAAGACGTCCAGGTGACAGTTGGTGTGATTGCAGCTTTCTTGTCAAGGCCACCGTCGAAAGCAAAGCCAAACACACTGTCAAGATATTCATCACGCAGCCCTGTGCCATACGAGTTCTGACCGACAGTCACAGCCGACGCCTGGATGGTTTTCAACGCAAAGCTTGTGACAATGGCGAAGCTATTTCCGCCACCGCGCAGCGCCCAGAATAGATCCGAGAACTCATTGGTCGCTGTTGCATTGAGGATAGTGCCGTCAGCCAGCACACACTATCTCCAAATTAGTTTATCGTCTTTACCAGCCGCGAGACCTCCGCCGCTGTCCCGGTGTTGCCCGAGTGACTCACCTCGTAACTTGCGATATTCGCCGAGGCCCATCCATACTCGTTGCCGAAAAACGATATCCCGCCGCCGAGCAAAAAGCCGGGGACACCGACGACTCCCATCCGACCTCCGACGACCGTAAGTCCATACGGCTCTAAATATCGATAAACTGCCCCCCATCGGTTTCCGGGACCCACGGATACTGTCATGAGATCTTCTGATAACTGCAGCTGTTGCAGCCCGGAACTCGAAAGCAGAATACCAGAGGAGTCGATATTTGCAGCGCCAGGGATCGGCATATGGCCACCGCCGCGTATGGCAAATTGTACTTTTGATTGAACAAGAGTCTTCACTGCGAATGACATGATTTCTGCACTTGTGGGTGCAAAGATACAGGCCGGGCCGATCCACTCGGCGGCGGAATAATAATCTAACAATAATCAGCATGTATCCCTCAACTGTAGGATCAAGCCTGACCGTGATTAATTGTCGTGTAGGAGGTGTCATTGGGGAAGAAAGTGGAATCAGGGTGCACTTGTCGAAAGAACTCGCATGCAGATGCCGGGGTTGTTGCGTTTGTAAATTCACCGCACCCACGAACATGTGGGAAAGCCCATAACAAGGCTGAAAGAAGTTTTCGAGACACCATCGTGAGAAAAGTCAGGCAAGGGTAGTCAATGCTTAATTGTCCTAGGCCGACTTTGACGGAAGATCTTTATCTTTATACTTTATACTACAACTGTCATTCGGTAACCCGGCAATACTTACGAGTACGAATGGAAGGCATGACGACCATGCTCATGCTCAGCCCCTTTTACTCCTGGATAATCTCCGTCCCATACAGACAGTGGGCTCGACGAAAACGCCAGTGTGGCAATGACTTCACTAAAAATTTACGGACGATGTTACTGCTTTCTCGAATAAGTGACGAAGGGTCATGGATTATTCCCGGCTGATCGACGAAACAAAGCCTGCCCCGCTCTAAAATACGCGTATCAACAAGGATTAGGGTTACATGGCTGTCAACTGAGGGGCAAGCGCCGGTGCGATGGGCGATCACTCAGGGGATAACTTAGCACTAATCATACACGGGAAATAACACAGGGTACCTCGGGATTGTGAAATACGCACTACGGCTCCATTATGTACACGGTTCAACCCGTACCACTACAGGCTACTATGCAGTAAGCCATCAAACGCATGAACCTTGATACCGGGCAACCTGCTCTGCAAATAGCTTTACTTTCAGAGGCTGATAATTGCTTGTTTTCTATAGGAACCCATTTCTGAACTAGCCTGAGGGTCCTCAAAGCTGCAAAGGTGCACACACGTTCATCTTTCACTACGGTGATTTTTCTCGGCTAGACATTGTTTCGTTTTCTAGGCACCTCGAGCTCTATCTCGGCAAATCTCATGTAGCTTTGTAACTGCTCAGTGAAAGACTGCCCAGTCTGCATACTGGCAAGCAAGCTGACGTAGCCTACTGCTTGTTGAGACGAGGCTCAGAGGACACTAGTAGTAGTCTACGGGCGCAGGAGAGGTTTGGCCAATATCGCGGCCGATATACCCGAAAATATGAACGATTCCGAACCGTAGCATAGCATTCATGAAAGAGTTTCTGCTCCACGCGTATACCTTATTAATGCCTTCCAACCCGCTGAACTCGATCCTGACGATCGTAGGTTCATGCGCCCCACCTTCGGCAATACCCTTGCGACATGAATTGGATTAACACGGTATTCTGGTTATTACGATCTGAAGGTGTGGATACTCACACTCTATGTATATAATACGACACGTTCCGCTAACTCCTGGAGAACTTGAATTGAGGCAAGTTGTGATCACTGGTGAGCTATCCAACTCCACGAGTCATCATGCTTATCTCTCTTGTTTTAACTATCTGCGCCGTTGCTTCGGCGCAGCAGGTCTACGTGTCCACCTCTGGCCCATTAGCTCTGCCCTCATGCACAGCAATTCCCGTTTCGTCAAATATACTTCCATCTTATCACCACAGTCGGTTCTCTTACACCCAGACAGAGACTGTTCGTACGGCAATCTCTGTCCAGACCTTTCCAATCGAAACTTATGGTCCGCCTTACTCGGAAGTGAGCCATCTGCTCCCACCTTTATCAACTACTTCCTGGAGCAATTGGGATCCTGCTGCTACATCTACACCCACAGATGAGGCGGATCCTTACGGCCAGGCTGCCTATTCTGCCCTGTGGCAAGCTGCAAGTATGCGCAACTTCAAGCGAGGCATTTATTCCACGACTGTGGCGCCGACACCAGTTCCCAAAGCAGAACTAGTCTTGCCTCCTCCACTCCTATTTACCCCGGCCGGCTGCTACCTATTTCCTTGCGACTTCATGCTCGGTATCAATAGCGCTGCGGCGCAGGTCGAGGGGGCGGCGGCCGACGAGGGAAGGACGCCTGCAGCTCCTGACTTCATCACCGAATTCGCTCGAAGTATAGGAGCTGACACCTCAAGCTTAGAGGATGACTTCATCGCGACTGAGAACTACTACCTCTATAAGCAAGATATAGAGCGTCTTGCGTCAGTTGGCCTCAAATACTATTCTTTCAGCATTGCTTGGCCACGCATATTACCTTTCGCGGTTCCAGGCACGCCGGTAAACAAGCAAGCATTGGCACACTACGACGATCTAATCAATTTCGCAATTGAAAAAGGTGTCCATCCCGTCGTGACACTCACCCATTTCGACACTCCCGCGCAGTTTATCGGGGGTAACGCGACCGGTCTCAATAAAAAACCGTTGTTTGGAAACCTGAACTTGGGTTATCAGAACGATACCTTTGAGGACGCCTTTGTTCACTATGGCAAGATCGTCATGGCACACTTCGCTGACCGGGTCCCTATCTGGATCACCTTCAACGAGCCGCTGACTGGCTGTGATACTGGGCCTAGCATTGATCATGTCATCAAATCTCATGCACGGTTGTATCATTTCTACAAGGATGAGCTTCAAGGTACGGGCAAGGTCAGCATAAAAATGGGAGCCGCACCAGCACTACCTCAAATACCTTCAAATGCGTCATATGTTGCCGCCACAAAGCATTATAACGACCTGAACATTGGGAGCTTCCTGAACCCTCTCGCCCTTGGGCAAGACTTTCCGGACGCGTATAAGCAGACGATTCAAGATTATGTGCCGTTGACCCAAGATGACCTGGCATATCTGAATCATACTCTGGGTATGTTCTATCCGACCTTAGCAGCTTTGCAACGTCATTTCGTTTAGTAGGAACCACAGCTAACGCAGGTGTTAGACTTTATCGGCATCGACTTATACGTGGCTCCAATTGTTTCCCCCGTTGTAGCTGATATTGCGACTTGCGCGGCGAACAATGTGAGCAACCCGTATTATCCACAGTGCGTCAGTACGACGGAAAAAACGGCCAACGGCTGGAATGAGGGATATCATGAGGAGTATATAGGGTACACAGCATCCGCCTTTGTTCGGACCCAGCTCAACTACCTCTGGAACACATACCAGATGCCGCTGGTCATCACCGAGTTCGGATTCTCAACGGCAGCCAGTCGCGCCTCGACAGACTTGAATGATATCCGGTTTGACGTTCTCAGGTCGGAGCATTATCTTGGCTACCTGTCGGAAGTTCTTAAGAGTATTTGGGAAGATGGGGTGCACGTTATGGGTGCATTCATGTGGAGCTTAGTAGATAACTGGGAATGGGGTACTTTTGACCACCAATTTGGCTTACAGTATCTCAACAAGACCACTCAGGAAAGGGTGTATAAGCGAAGCATATTTGATGTGGTGGACTTTGTCGAGTCAAGGATGACGAACTCTTCCAGTTGCTGAATTGGGTCCATGGTAGTGCAAAGCTGAAGAATATTCTTTATTGTCTAAAATGGATTAATGCCAAAATCTTTAACATTATTTTATTTTATAAATAGCCTATCATTTTATGGAAAGACGCTACTGGAGGCCTATATACCAACTCTATATGCCACCCTCAAGACAAAAGGAAGGCTCCTGGGTCATCGAACGTTTGCATTGGCTAATAGCCGGAATTTCATTTGTGTCTCCCTGGTCACTGACCAGAACACCAAAAGTAACTCCCCAACTCAATTGTAATTTTCCTCCGTGCTCGAAGCCGACCGTTATAATGGGAACAAATCACCTAGACGCATCCTTTGAAATTTGTATTCTCTTGGTGCTTTCTTCTTTCCTGTGATAACACATTAGAACAAATCTCCAAGTGAAAAGTTTCAGGGAGACAGACCGTAGAGTCCACAATAAAGCGTCTCGGGAGTTAATCTCTTGTTCGTTGTGTCTGAATTTTACCTAATGTCTGCTACATGACTGTGACAATCGGATAGGGTTATTCCGGCATCGATAGCACTATATATAGCACTCAGTAGGCGATCTACGGTGCTCGCATCTTAAGGACCTACATAACACTCATATTACACTTACATACTACCTACGAAGGGAGCTCCGCGCTACGTAGCC